TCCTATTTAAGGAGCTACGAATTGAAATAAAGCATTCAGTTTTCCAGTCAAGAAACGAGTGAGGAGAGTTTGGGTGGTCTCTTGGACAAATCACCCATTAGATTGGCAAAATAGGGTCTGTGCGCAAGGCCAAAGGCAAGGGAAGATCAGGGGTTCCTGCTGTGGAACAACCCGTGACGCGATCCTACTCTCGGGCCCATAACAATGGCTCCTCGGACCAATAGGGCAGCGGAGCCGGAATAGTCCTGCATGGCCCAAGTGGCACGAAACTGGAGTACGCGCTACACTTCGAGTTCACGACATCTAACAATGAGGCGGAGTACGAGGCATTGATAGCTGGACTAGCCTTAGCTAGAGAAGTAAAAGCGAAGCACATCGTTATCTGCAGCGACTCCCAACTCGTGGTCAACCAGGTCACTGGCGAGTACGAAGCTCGCAAGCCAACCATGGTCGCCTACTTAGCCAAAGTCAGAGAGGGCCTGCTCAACTTCCAGTCACACTTCATCAGACAAATCCCTAGGTCGGAGAATGCTGAGGCTGATGCCCTGTCCAGGTTAGCCAGCACCAGCGACATCACCATGAGAACTGTGTACATAGAGGACCTGTCTCGGCCTATCATTCTCAGGAGGGCAGAGGAGGTCGCTCCCGTCGTTCAAGCAGAGCCGAGCTGGATTGACCCGCTCGCGAGCTTCTTGCTACACGGGACCCTCTCTGCAGATTGCAATGCAGCCAGAAGGGTGCAGCACCAGGCAGCCAAATACGTCATGATAGACGAACGGCTATACCGAAGATCCTACACGCTCCCCTACCTGCGTTGCTTGCGACCTATCGGAGCCGAGTTCATACTCCACGACACTCATGAGGGTCTATGCGGCGGACACTTGGGGGGCAGGGTCCTCGCCCAAAAGGCACTTCGATAGGGATATTATTGGCCAACAATGAAGGCAGATGCCATTGAACTCATTAAAAAATGTGACAAATGCCAGAAGCACGCCAATATCCACCACCAACCTGTTGCCGACCTCAAGTATCTCACCAGCCCGTGGCCCTTCTTACAATGGGGCGTCAATCTACTTGAGCCATTCCTTCCAGCAACGGGTGGGAGGAAGTTCTTAGTAGTAGCAGTGGATTACTTTACCAAGTGGGTAGAGGTTGAACCCTTTGTAACGATCACAGCCCGGAACGTCCAAAACTTCTTTTAGAAGAACATCCCTCCCTTAATTTGGTTTCAGATTTGGTCTGGTTTGGTTAAAAGAATAAACATTGAAAATGCAGTTTTCTAAATTGGGAATAGAATTCCCGAATGGGAGTAAAGAAATTTTTGAAATTTCGCCCAACCTTCCTACAGGGTTCGGCCATCCATATGATGGATCTCCCATCCCTTCATAGTTATGTTTTGACTTTGTATTTCAACATGCAAGTCTGAAACATAACATGAAGTTTCAATCATGCATTTATTTTACGGGGCAGGATAAAAAAAAATGTTGACGCTATAGTGGATATGCTCATGATATCTTCTCTAGGTTCATGAAGTGCAAACATATTTCTTTGGTGAATTTACATATAAAGCCATTACCATGATGCAAGATGCATCTATGTCACTCGAACCCATGGTTTTGTTGTTTCCTGGTAATGCTATTTATTTTGTTAATTGTACAAATTTTGTTTCAACAAAGCTCTAGGTTAAGAAGGAGATGCAAATCCTACACAAAGGGGTATGGTCTATCAAATAATCTACAAATTTGTGGAAGAATTTAATGATTTTTCTTATGAAGAATATTGATCAAGCACACTTTATAGTCTCTTTTTTGGGCTACATCAGTTTATAGTTTAATTTGGTCCATGGTTTCTCATGCATGTTTTCTAGTTAATTTCCAGCTTATAATGCTTGGACTTTGGATTTACCCTATATTTTATATGGATACCTGTACCCCTGTTTCTTAATAATCTAAATAATTACTAGAAACTTCCCATGAGTTTGCTAATAAACCACTAAGTAGGAAATTTACCCAATTACCCTACACCCAAATACTTAACTAAGTGGCTAAGGATTGGTGAAATGTGGTAATAATCCTAATTAACTCTTGAATGGATAAATTATCAATTGAGCTGGTTTTTCATGAACTTACTTGTGTGGGACTTGTGCAATTGTGCACCCTACTTTCAGACCCCAATGATCATGTTTAATGTGTATGGTAAGCAGCTGGGTGAGGGGGTGACTTTCCTCATTACAACCTTCATGTTTTCTAGGAAGGAATACTACATAATATATTAATGATTTTTCATCTACTAGTTCTTGTGTGTGGTGTTGTTTTTTACTATTTTCTTTTCCTATTCCTGCCCACAGGTAGTATTCAAAACTAGGATCTACCACTACAATGTTGATGCTAAAGGAAACTTAAGTTTGGGGATCTTGAAAGATGGTTGAAGTCCTACTCTAACCATCTCAAAGGTGCTACTTGCAATGCTTTAACCATCTCAAAGGTGCTACTTGCAATCAGATCAATATTCAGAAATCTGGAGCCCACGTAAGCCTTTTCATGATCTTTGTTGCCAAAGTTTTCGTTTGACATGGCCTAGAAAATACTAACTTAGTTCATAGTCCTTACAAATATATGTTATTTTGTATTAGGAACATTGAATATTGTATCTAGTGTGCTGAATCGTATTCTAACCTATTTTATTAATTAGATTTTGCTTTATCTGTTTTGACCACATTCAGCATTTCCAACTATTGAATTTGTATATTGGACTGTTTGGAGATGGCTCAGATATGTGATCATTTTATTATGTCTACCCCCCTAAAAAAAGATTTGGTCATCTTCTTTGTTATCTCTTCTTTTTCAATTTATTTGGGTAGATTCCTCTCCCTCTCTTGCCTTCCTCCCCTCTATAGTTATCCCTTCCACAGAAAATGTCTTTGCTACTAATGTTTGGCATGGTTAGTATAGAACATAAAACTAATTCAATCTCCACACATACTAAAGAAACAAAAATAAAAGGATACACAAAAAAGAAGAGAAATATCTATACAATCATATTTTCCTTTACATTTATGTGCACAAAAACATCAAAATGCAGTTTCTAAAGTAGTACTCTTTTCAGACCAAAAGGGATAAGCAAAACATCTAATTACACTTTTCAAGTACTGCTCTTTCAACATTCACTAAACCTAACTTAAAAACTAGTAAAACTACAATTCTTCACACTACTCTTTGTAAGCATTTGATAAAGTTAAACTGCAGATTTTAAGACTGATGTTCATTTTCTCCCTCTTCATTGTTTTCTACTGTATCAAGAAGAGCTCCTTTTGCTTGTATGAAATACCAACTTTGCATTATTTCTCCATAACATCCTAATATAGATTTTGGTTGAGAATTTTGGAAATCTATCTGCACCTGCATACACTGGTTAGAAATGTTAGTGAAATTTAAAAGGATATCTCTACCCTCCCACAAAAACCAACCTCCACTAGAATATTCATCAAGTTTAACTATATGACAGTTACTGATTCGAAGTTGTTCAATAATACTTTCATATTCATATTTTTTTTGCCCTTGTTTCAATAAGAATAATCACAGTAGGTTTGTAATCTTCAATTAGACCATTCATAATCTCTGTGAACATATAATCTTTAACTCTATGAACATTCTAGCAAAGTATCTTGATTGATGGATAACTTGCAATATGAATCTTGTTTTGAACTATGTTTGACTGATTCATTTTTCTTACACTTGGTAGCCATGCCTCCCATAGTGATCCTTCTTCAAATTCATTAATCATGGATCTCATTGAAAGAGAATGTCGCCACGTTTTTGAATGAAACTTAAATCGGCAAAAGATGTTAACAATTATGACACTTGTGTTCTTATGAGGTTGTATCATTGTTACTTGCCAACGTTGTGGGCCGAAGTCAATTTTTAATGGACTCATCTTTTATAGCAGCATACAAAGTTTTCCAAAGAGAAATTTCTGCACATATAAACAAAAAAAAAAAAAAAATTAAGAGGCTTTATATTATTTGTAAGAGATATAAACAAAAAAAAAAGAAAACATCTAAAAGGCTTTATATTATTTGTAATTTGTAATCAACTATATATCATTTTGTTCAAAAGAAAGACATCAACCTAAATTAAATATCAAGAAATTAAAAACAACATGAGCAAATAAAACAAAAAAGTAAAACTAATTGTAAAGAAAATTCAACATTGTTATTAATTATCTATAGCATGTGGCAGATTTTTAAAACCTCATTTGTTTTTGTTCGGAAGGGAAGAGGTTATGTTTGTTTTTAGGAGAGATTTATATTGTTTGGCATGTTGAGAGAGAAAGGTCAAGAAAGTTATGGAATTCTTGATGGGCACCATGAAGCTGCACCCATCAGTGATGAACTCAAATCCCAAAGTTACAACAAATTGACCAAGGTATATGGTTTAAAAGGTTCTGAAGTAAGAGAACCTATTGAATTTACTGAATGAATAGGCTAACTTGAAACCTACTCAATGAGCTTGCTTCTTGTGACAGCTCTATTCTTCATTGTGGAAGCTCTTTAGTAGGTGTTACCATCCTTAACTACATATTGCAACTTTCTAATGAAGTCATGAGAAGCCTAATGGGTGCTCTTATAAGTAACATTTTAACCCATATACATTTTTCAATAAGATTGATATTTTCTCTTTGTATAAGAACTTTGGAATTTATGTCTGCTTGGAAAGACATTATATTGGTGTTCCTCTCCTACTTAAATTCACTAACCAACATAATTTTGAATCAGAAAAACCAGCGAACGGATCCAATTATGAACATAACAACAATGATAATAACCATGTATTAGATGGGCTATTTGTGAATCCCATTTGATGATGTGCTTCACCCCTAAAAACCTTAATTTTTTGTGCTCATCTATTTTTTGCAAGGTTTAGCTTAATGGAAGAAGCAAGAATGTCTCTATGAGTTTTATCCAAGTAAAAGTGAGATGCCAAGAGGAACTACCAAGAAACATTCTTAGTAATCTCCTCTTCACTAAAAGCAGGAAACAACTCCAAAATCAGACTCCCACAATCCTTTTAAGGATCAAACTTTTATACCACTATCAATTGGTTACCATTATCACAAATAAAATCTAGCACAAGTACATCATCTTTGGATAAAACAATACCCAAAGAAATGAAACCCTGAGACTAAGGACACTGTGCAAAATCAAATTCTCTATAGCAAACGTCAAGCTTTTTATATTACAAAAATTCTATACATAGTGAAAACAAAATTAAAAAAAAAAAAAAAAAGCAAAAAACAAAATTACTTTATAAAAGTAAAAGAAAACATACCTGAACACAAAGACAAAATAACATCACTTACAAATTTACAAGAATGCATCTTTACAATCATTAATTGTCTATAGAAACCAAATGGCAGATTTTCAAAACATTATTGAGCATAGCACGACAATTGTAAAATAAAACCTACAGAAATCAAATTAAAACAATACATAAGTAACTAGTTGTAAACATGCAAAATATGATTATTAGATAATAAGAAAATTTACGAATCAAGGATTCAGGGAGTTGAGAGAGGACAAGTTAGGAATTATAGACAAAGAAAGTAAGTTTTTAAGCAAATAGAAGGAAAAGGCAAATCTCATCTCATAAAATGACAAAAGTCGATTTAATTGGAGATCCACTCGTCTTCGTGTGGCTCCAGTTTGGCGAAAAGACAAATGGTCAACGTACTCGAACAGGGGATTCACGCACAACCTCTAATGGCAAGCTCGGCGACCCCAGAAAGAAAATGTTGTGAAATGTGATGGTCACTGTGAAATACAAAATGACATTTTTATACGAAATGGGTAATCTTTTCGTATTCCAGTTCCCACAATATCTTGCAAGTAGGATCACCCCCAATCACGGTTTCCCCAAGCAAAACCGCGACTGCCGCAAATGTTAAAGGAATTCAAGAGTACCTTCACCGTGAATGGGCACCATTGAATTTGGAACACAATGAGTGTCGAGAGAAATTGCCTTCCGGAAGAACGCCAATGAGGTAGCCATGGACGAGAGTCGAAGAAGACAACTCACAAGGAAGAAATTTCACATGAAGTCTCTCATCCTGCTAGAAGAGAATTTTGCACGAGAAAAAGAAAGTCACATGCGAATACCCTATTCTGCAGGAAAAGAAGGCCACTTTGTCTTGACGAAGCCCCTTCCCGCCTTAGTATATATAATAGATGATAGATATTTTGAAAAATGAAAAAAATAAAATAAAATCTTGAGGGGAATAAGGAGGAAAGAAATAATATTCAATAAACCAAATTTTCAACATCAAGATGGTTGAAAGCTGAAAATTCTCATTTGTTACTTCCACCACCTCAAATCAATTGACGATAAAACATTCGGTCATTTTAAATTTTAGGTACAAATCGCTTTTTAACGGTAGATGATGAATCCATGCCTCCCTTGTTTTTGCGATAATTTATTAATGATCGCTGAAATGCCATTAAATCCACCATAGAAATGTGATTGTACCTACAATTTAATATGAACCAAATTCTCTCCGTTAAGATTGTTTGATAAATGTTGAAGTGGCTATTTAATGGTGATGAAACCAACTTTTGGTTCAGCTGTGGAGGAACTCTTTACCTCTGTTATAATTTATTCACTAAATCAAGTCATTCGATACAATCACTTAAATTGTATTATTAGTTTCTATGCATGTGTTGTGTCTAAGGTATATATATTACAAATTTGATACCAACACAGAGATAATGAGGGTGTTTGGTTCCATTAGTGTTTATTAAAAAAATGCTGCCACACTAGTGTCAAATGGACATTTGTGTTTATTGAGAATGAAACCATTGTTTGTCAAATAAACACTAAAAAGCATAAATGCCCGAATTTATATGCATGAGGCATTTGGGAAAACGTTAAATTCTTGTTTCCCCTAATGCCCAAGCATTTCTTAAAATGAAATGCTTATGCTGCATATTTTATGGGGTGCTAATTTGAGTTGTAAAGTAAAAATAGTTAAATTATTTTCAACCAAACAATAAAAGCAATAAACATTTAAAGTAAAAAAAAAATGTTTAAAGCAAAGTTGTTAAAATAAACGTTTAAAGCAATAAACACCCATGAAACCAAACATATAAAATATATTCCGATATTCATTAAATGCATAATTATAGTGTTATAAATTTGATGGATTGCTTGGATTGATCACATTATCCTCACGCTAAAAGGTTCAATATTGGGTTTGTTGATGAAGGCATGAAGATGAGTTCAACATAATTGAATTGTTAGAAAATCAAAAGTATGAAAAAACCCTTGAAATTTAATTAATTTTCCTACCATTTTCACTATTTCGAAACTCAATGTATATAATAATTGAAAATTGATGCTACCACAAATAGCAACAAGGGTAAGTTTGATGCTACCA